CGCCCCCACCCTTAGAGCGCCCCCACCCTTAGAGCATCACCAACTTTCATTACACAGTTACACCGTCGCCTGGATGACTGAGAATCTCCAGCAGCACTTTGAACCTTCATGTTATTCTGCTCGGATCTGGACCAGACTGGATGGTTCTTACTAAACTAACCGGGGCGACCTTTTGTTACACGGCTGTTCTACCAGAACCTCAGGGCAGAACCACGCTGGGCGCTCATCCAGCTGGTTCAAAAATGTAGGTTCGTAAAAAAGGAAGTGAGTCTACACAGAAGAGGGATTTTTTAACGGCTTCTGCAGAAGGAGAGAGCTACATTCAGCTACATCTACTCTCTGATGGACTTCCTTTGCAGAGCCTTTTTATTAGCAGATCATAACACATGGGGTGGGTTACAAAATAGAGTGTTCTGACAAGGCAATTGATCAGGAGGTCGTAGGACGAAATGCTCCTCTGATTGAATCACACAATAGATTGGTCTCCTGATAACTGTGATTAGCTTTGCACAAACATCAGCAGTTTTCTACCACCGTTGCACGACAGTTTGCAGTAAACATTGAAGCATCTCATTTCTCCAGTGTTTCATATGCACACACATTAACTTTATAATCATCACTGAATAAACCTAACAAGGAGTTCCTCAGATTTTATTTCCTGCCGCTTTTTCAAACAAAAACATGAATTAAAAAAAGGTTTGATGGGATCCAGAACCTGATCTGGGCCCCAGGTTAAGGTCCACCAGATAGAAGCAAACCGAGCTGAAGCGGTTCCTGATAGTCAGAGAAGGAAGTTATTAGCGTGACTGCAGGAACTTCCTGAAACCGTTGGTGACCTTTAGAGCTGCTTCTGGTTCTCCATCCTGCAGCCGCCATCAACCACCTGGAAGTTTAATGCCATGAAGAACCGGAGCACAGGAGATGGAGGGGCTTGATTAGGGACGCTTCTGCATTCCTGTAGCTCTGAGATGACTCTGCTGGGATTCTCCTCTCCAACGAGCAGCAGATGCTCTCCTCATGGCTCACACAGGTGTTTGAACCAATGAGTACAACATAGTACATTATATAGGTAGAAGCATCAATGGAGGCTGTTTTTTTTTTTTTCTAATTGTTTATTTCGAACATTCAAGAGAAAAACAATAAAACAATGTTTAAAAACATTGGAGAGAAAAACAACAAACAAGTTACCCTTCTTTCCTAAATAATATACCTCTATTACATGTGCGAAAAGGAGTAGGAAGAAGTAAAACTTATGTGCTCCTACCCCTTTAATTCTTGCATTTCTTTAATTTACAATGTTTATAATTATGTTGCTATATATATCCATATAAATACATACCTACCTACACATATACCGACATACATATATACAAATTAACAAAACAAAAAACACAAACAAAACTTTCTACAATGCTTCTCTATACCGTTTGAAAATAATTTCTTTGTTGGCAGCGAAGCTGACATGCCTAGAGGGCGGCCATCTTGGATCAGACCACAGTTCAGACAGCTGCTGTCAGAAAGAATAGGAGGCGCCTCAGATCTCATTTTAATCACATGAAAGACGAGTCAAGATAATATTACGATAATCTCTAGTCTCTAACAACCCCTTAAAAGACCAAAACAAATTCTAAAATTACATTTACATTAGATTACACACATTCATTATGGTAATCTAATGTAATTAGATTACACATAATAAATATGTGTAATCTAATTACATTAAATTACACATATTTATTCAGATGAAAAACAATTTAAACTGAACTCAAACTGGATGAGATGTTTGCAAAGTTATATATTTTGCAATTAAATATTAATATGATAAACAAAAAGTTTCGTATTAAAATACCATAAGATTAGGTTTTAGAAATATTATATATTTATACAGTATATTATTATTAGTCAGTATTTTAAAGGATTGCAGTAATGTGATTTTAAAACAGAGTAAATTACTATTTATTTTGTTTATTAATTTTTTGTCATTGTAAAGACTTTTTTTGTCAAATCTTTAAAATACTGAATAATAATAATATACTATATAAATATTTGTAAAACCTAATCTTATAATATATTAATATAAATATTCATCATATTAATATTTAATTGCAAAATATAAATCTTTGCATATTTCAAAACAGTTTGAGTTCATTTTAAAGAGTTTTTAATCTGAATAAATATGTGTAATCTAAGGTTAATTCTCTGTACTCAGCGCTGTCTGCCTGCGGTGGGTGAGGTACTCAACAGTAGTACTTGAGTGAAAGTATCGATACTCACTCAACTACAAGTAAAATATATTTATTCATAATTCCACTCAAGTTAAAATGTTGAAATACTCATGTTTAACAGTACATTNGAACAGGTCCACTCCTTAGGAATGCGTAATGGCTTTGGTTTCTTTTTTAGCCTGCAATACCCGATACTGGGCTATGCCTCTGAAAGGGGGTCGTTAGGGGCAATTGTTAGCTTGGCAGGCTAACAAAGAACCCAAATGACTGCCCATTTCTAAGGGGCGGACCCGTTCTTCTGGTTTAATTTGTACGTTTTTGGGCTACTCTGTAAAGCTTGGAACTCAACGTTAAATCTGCCATTTTGAATTGAAAAGGCTTCCTGGATGGGAAGCGAAGTGTCTTCAAAGCTTGCAACTTTTTTTGAATGACTATGACCTGGATGTACAGGTGTAACGTTCTGCTTTTTCCCCCTTTCTGCTCATTTACTTTAGCCAAAGGTAACTGAGGTTGGGTGCAGCTAACTTTATTCGGAGCGTTTTGAGTGCGTTTTTTTTTTTTTCTCCGACTCTGCTCCCTTGTCCCGCCTCTCGGTGTGACATCATCAGATCTGTCGCTTTCAGACTTCTGTTTAGCGCACAAAGTAGCTACATGTTGTAGGAAAGACATGCAATGTATGTTTAAGAAAAAGTTAGTAGACGGGTTGGTTGAAAATAATAGACGCCACTGAAAACCCTATTTGTTAGAAATACGAAGCATTTTCAGCCAAAAATGTCAACAGGTTGTAAGTTTATTCTAGTTAGTATTATAATGCAAGAAGCTTGAGAAAATAGAGTTTAAAAATTGTGTTCTTCTTTATTAGTTAAATAAATGTTGGCTTCTCAGAGGACCAGGACTCCCAGTTACAGCTTAAAATGAACACATTCTCTTATTGTCCAGATAGAACCAGACTGCAGAGCTTCAACAGATCTTGAAATGTAGTTTCTGGCATCATTATATTAGTAAAGAGGTCCATAATTTTTTTTTTAAACAGAGCACAGAGAGAAATAGGAAGAGCTGCAGATTTAAATGTGAAACGGATTTACTGCGATATGCAACATGCAATAAAAAATATCTCCAAGTTTACCAGAAAGTTTTCAAGAAAAAAAGAGCTATATTTAAAATGCAGCATATTCATATTTTTTGGATGGATGGAATTGAATTTGTATTTCTAAGGATGCTTGATTTTGGCATGCTTCTCTTATGTTCTTAACAACAGGAAAGCATTCAATAAACAGATTTTTGAGCTCATTTTTGGAAAATATAAAAACCTAATGAAAGCGTTCGGGTGGAGTAATTGTAGCTCCATCAGCCCCCACGCTTAGAGCGGCCCCACCCTTAATCAGCCCCCACCCTTAGAGCGCCCCCACCCTTAGAGCATCACCAACTTTCATTACAAAGTTACACCGTAACCTGGATGACTGAGAATCTCCAGCAGCACTTTGAACCTTCATGTTATTCTGCTCGGATCTGGACCAGACTGGATGGTTCTTACTAAACTAACCGGGGCGACCTTTTGTTACACGGCTGTTCTACCAGAACCTCAGGGCAGAACCACGCTGGGCGCTCATCCAGCTGGTTCAAAAATGTAGGTTCGTAAAAAAGGAAGTGAGTCCACACAGAAGAGGGATTTTTTAACGGCTTCTGCAGAAGGAGAGAGCTACATTCAGCTACATCTACTCTCTGACTGACTTCCTTTGCAGAGCCTTTTTATTAGCAGATCATAACAGAGTGTTCTTCTGACAAGGCAATTGATCAGGTCATAGGACAAA